TGGGCTGCTGTGACACGTGAGTGGCATGAGTGACTGAGGGCTGGCAGGGTGTATGAGGTGAGCCACACCTGGAGGCACCAGCAAGAGTGCAGATTTGGGTGACAAATTGAGGTAGGTAAAGGTGTGTCTCCCAGGAAAACAATCCTGTGATACCATCATGAGTCCATAAAGGGAAAGTTAGAGCTGAGTGAGGGGTGGGGGACAGCAAGGAAGCAGTGGAGGAAGATGTGGGAGGAATGCTGGGAGTGTGATGTGGGGCAGGTCCAGGGGGCCCTCCACTCTGTTGACTCCTCGCTCCCTCCTTTGGTTCCGTAGGTCATTCCGTAGGTCCCTGCACCCCACCCACTTCCCTGCTGGGTGTGAGGTGCGTCAAGAGGCAGAAACCTACCAATTCTCCCTGGTGCAAAAGACGGACCCTCAGCTACCCTGAAAATGGGGCAGGCCCAACACAGAGTGGGGCTTGGCTAAAAATCCTGATCCGGGGGCTCCTGCTCTTCCCTGCTCCAGCTAGACTCCATGAAGCCCCCTTCTGCTGAAGGCCCGCTGCGGCTGCCACTTCCAGAGAGACCACTAGCAGCTGCCAGTTGATCCTGACTCAATAAACAAACACTACAGCTGAAAGCCTGCCTCGGATTGTCCACGCCCCTGGGTCCCCAGCGGGAATGGGGGCCCTGCTAGAGTCTAGGGGCTCAGGCCTCAGATCTCAGAATCTTGAAGACCATTGGGCAGCTGGGCCCATTTCAGATGGTTATGGTGCTGGTGCTGGGGTCTGGAGCTTTATAGGAGGCCAGGTGGCACTGGTCGGCAGCACCTGGATGGGGAGGTCCCAACTGAAGGTGTCCACGGGTCCTTTCTCAGGCCCTGTCCAGGTGGCAAGCTCAGACTGTTACATAGGGGGTAGGAGCACCAAACCTTGTTCTCCTGATGTGACAAATTCAAAATGCAATTCCACATCAGGAACACAATTGCTGTGTAGAAGCCTGGGGTGGAGCTGAGAGGAATGGCGAGGGAGAAGCTTGTTCTGGTGGATTGTAGGCAGGACTCCTGGTGCCGGGCATGAGTCACATGGGACACAGAAGGGGTGCCTTCCACCTCACGCCACCGCTGGTACTCAGGCTGTACCCGCTCCTCCATCTGTAAACTTACTGAAAACTGCAAACAAGCTACAGTGCCTTCCCCTACATCCACCATCCCCACCACATCCTCGCCAGGTCTGTAGACAGATCACAGATGGAGGCTGCGGCAGGATGTGGGCAGCATGAGGTGCTCCCCAGACAGCTCAGCGAGCCACGAATCCTCTTCCCACCTTCATCCTCCTCCAGGAATGGACTTCACGAGGCCACAGCCTCACCCTGAGCAAAGTGGAGATCCTGAAGGCCAGTCAGCACAAGGATCCTCAGAAGGACCATGAGTAAAGTAGCGGGGGTCGGGGGGGCGGGGGGGAGAGTTGACACGCTGGCAGCCAAAGGTCAATTTGTAGACATACTTGACTGATTGGCCCCCAAAGGGAGATGGTCCCTCTATGGGCAGGACTTTTCTGTAGGAGTACGATTTGGACTCTCCAGGCTTGAGCCACAAATCACAGAAGAGGATTCTCAGTGGAGTGGAAAGAATACATTGACCCCTCTCCTTGGTGGGGGAGGAAGACCTTCCGGCTCTTGGGTTGGCCCTTTGGTTGGCTGGAGTCCGGGAGAGGCTGTGCCACGTGGCTCTCATTGGATGCAGACGTGGCCATGGGGGACAGGGGTTGGTCATGGTCACCACACATTCCAGTGCCTCCTCCTGCACAGCTCTGCTACCACTTTGATCATGGCAGCACCGCCTGGGAGCTATGCGTTCGCCGGGGCTGGGCCAGGTACGCTGTGAAGCCCCGGCATCCACAATGTGTGAGGTGGAACTTCCCTCTATTTATTTATATTAAATCATTTTACTGGCAAATACTTCACAGGTCATACAATTCAATCATTTAATCATGTTAAGCAAGATTTATGCAATCATTACCACAATCAATTTCAGAACATTTTCTTCTCAGACTCATTGCCTTTGCTACCTATTTCCCTGAAAACCTCCTTTGCCATTTCCCTAGCAATTACTCATCTAATTACCATCTCAATAGATTTACCTGTCTTGGGTTTTGAATACAAAAAATGAAACAAAATACAAATAAGAAGCAAACAAAAAATTCCAGCAACAATGACAGGATAAAACAGAAAAAAGCCTCAATCAAATAGAAACCAGAAAACATTAAAAACTGTGAGTTTAAGATGAGTCAAAAGGGAGATCAGCAGAGCACAAGAGAGCAAATGAAGAGGGAGGAAGAGAGAGTGGAACACATCCTGGCCCACCAAGCCCTGAGGACCATATCCCTGCTCAGAGCAGCCAATGCACAGAGAGGACCATAGGGCCAGCCCCACCATGAGACACGATGTTCCTCACTGGCACATAGCCCTACAGAGGACAACACTGGAGACACAGTGTGGGAATTCCACCCTATCTGACCCCACCACACTGAGGCAAAACACTAAGGGCATGCAACAGAACAGCAAAGGTACCAGAGCAACGAAGTCCTGAGGAAGTACCAAAAATAGACTTTGGGGCCAGGGCTTGGCACCCCATCAGACACAACCAGAAACACTCCTAAAGGTAAACAAACAGACCTTGAACTATTTGCTGGCTTTCCTCTTTTTTTGTCATTTTTTTTATTGTTGTGTTTTCTTCTTTTGTTGCTTTGTTTTGCTCTGTCTTGTTTTTGTGCATATTATTACCTCTGCAGATTGATCTAGATAAGATAATCATGATAAACAATCTGGAGGAGAAAACAATGGACCGAAGGTTCTGGGGGGACATGAGAGAGGGCTTGATCAAGGGCAATGTAACCGAGAGGAATTCCTGAAACCCAAAGGAAGGCTGAACTTTGTAGTGGGACAAACAGAAATAGAGGAAAGAACCAGAAGGCAATGGGCATAAGTCTAAATACAGGCATGTACATATGTAAACATATTTATATATGACAGGGAAATATATCTATGTGCATATATTTATAGATTTAGTATCAAGGTAACACATGGACATTAGGCCTCCACTCAAGTACTCCCTCAATGCAAGAACACTTTGTTCTATTAAACTGATATTCCATGATGCTCACCTTCCCTACATGATCGCTGAAGACAAACAGGTGCATAAGCAAATGTGGTGAAGAAAGCTGATGGTGCCCGGCTATCAAAAGATATAGCATCTGGTGTCTTAAAGGCTTGAAGGTAAACAAACGGCCATCTAGCTCAGAAGCAACAAAACCCCCATGGAAGAAGCACACCAGCCTATGTGATCATGAGGTGTCGAAGGGATCAGGTAGCAGGCATCAAAGAATAAAATATCATATCATTGTGAATGAGGGGGAGTGCGGAGTGGAGACCTAGCTCATCTGTAGGCAATTGGACATCCCCTTACAGAAGGGCCGTCAGGAGGAGACAAGCCAGTCAGGGAGCAGTGTAGCAACAATGAAATATACAACTTTTCTCCAGTTCTTAAATGCTTCCTCCTCCACTCCACTCCCACTATCATGATCCCAATTCTACCTTACAAATCCAGCTAGACCAGAAGACGTACACTGGTACAGATAGGAACCAGAAACACAGGGAATCCAGGACAGATGAACCCTTCAGGACCTACGGTGAGAGTGGCAATACCAGGAGGGTGGATGGAAGGTGGGACAGAAGGGGGAACTGATCACAAGAATCTACATATAGCCCCCTCCCTGGGGACAGACAACAGAAACGTGGGTGAAGAGAGATGGGGGACATTGTAAGACATGACAAAATAATAATAATTTATAAATTCTCAAGGGTTCATGAGGGAGGGGTGGGGAAGGAGGGGAAAATGAGGAGCTGATACCAAGGGCTTAAGTAGAAAGCAAATGTTTTGAGAATGATGAGGATAATAAATGTACAAATGTACTTGACACAATGGCTGGATGTATGGATTCTGATAAGCGTTGTACAAGCCCCCAATAAAATTATTTAGAAAACAACAATAAAAGTGAGATCAAATGATAAAGTGTTACATTTTAACCTAACTACATATTGCACAATTGACTTTAAAATGCTCTTTGTCTGATAGCAAGGCTATTCACATCCTGAAGATGTATTTTGGGTTTCCATGGTCATTCATACCTTCTGGAAAAGCAGGCATTTATAATTTAAGCTTTGATATCATTCCCTTTTTTTGGATTTGGATTTTATCTTTTACAATCCTTGTATCACACAGGATTGTACGCTTCTTCCATATGGATTTAGGTTGGCCCTATCCTCAGGCTGCATTCACTGTTCCAGGTATATAGAGGGAGTATATTAAGTCTTGTGGATTGCTTAATTCACCTGGCAGGTGTTAGGACTAAGGGTGTGCTGACCAATCTCTTTCTTTGTCTGGCAGACTGCAGGCGGCTCTGTATAGTTGGAAGGACTGTATAGCAGATAATTGGCCCACTGAGAACTGTGGACAACCTCAACTAGGTGACTGAGGGCAGTTTTTGTCCTCATAGCAAGTCTTTGAGAAGTTTAGAAATCATTATGCATATGAATTAAGTAACCTGCCACATTAGATGAAATTCTTTTACTTGAAAATGACAGAAATAAATATTGAACTGGGTTACAAATAAAAGAAATTTGTTGGTGGGTAGAACTGAGAAAGCCAAGGGGGCAGATGATCCAGGGAATGGAGCAAATGCCTTCAGTACAGGTTGTTGCCTTCTCCGTGGTAGGAACAAGGAACCTAGCCTCTGCAGGCCTTTCAGCTTCTTGGCAGCTTTATTGTTTCCCAACCGCTCAAGAAAAAGCCGAGATTGGCTTTTATTCAGCTGATTTGAGTCATGTGCTCACGAATGAACCAATCACAAGGCACTGAGTGTGAAATATCCTGATTGGACAGCCCAGGTTATTACTTCTTTTTGCATATCATGGTTATGAGGTTCAGCACTCACAAACCAAGAGTAGCGAGGGCATCCTTATGGACAACTGGTCAATGTACCTGAAGAAGGGGGACTATCTGGAGGAGGGAACGCAACAGATGGCCACCCTAGCTGCCAAAGTAACACTGCATGTGAGACAGGTCAGGATTTGAACCTGCGTCCTCTGCTAAAAAGCCAGTAAGGGAACGAAGCTGCATCGTGAGTCCTTGTGAGTTGATCAAGTCTAGTCCTCTATAATGCTTTATGCTCAGCTTCCCTGGCTGACCTGCCCTGATTCACTTTCCCCAGTGTTTCCTGAGGGTTCTTATGCAGGGCTTCACATTTCCAGTCAGTAAGGAGGCAGTGACCAGAACTCCTCTGAGGAATTCAGGATGCTCAAATAGAATTATCATGCACTATCTGCCCACGCAAAGGCAATGATTTGCCCACATCACCAGCTTTGCTAACAAAATCTTTTGGGGAATTCTGAATTGTATCCGATTTATTTAGGACTTATTCCACAAATACAAGGGGGTTTCAGAAAGTTTGAGGAAATTTTTCATTGTCTTCCAATTCCATTTTCTACTAACTTTTGGAAGCCTCTTGTTTTCCAACACCTTTGTTTGAGTCAGGCCTAGAACTATAGTCTGGGAATACAGTGGGCCATGAA